GGATGTGTATCTGAATGTTGACCCAACTGAGCTGGGGATCACCGGGGCAGTCTCCGAGCACTTAGAGCGGTGCTCCAAGCTTGTTTTAATACAGGTCAAGGTGGGGGTGGGGGCTGTAGAGTATTGTACACTGTGACAGGTGAGGGGGTGTAGTGTATTGTACACTGTGACAGGTGAGGGGGTGTAGTGTATTGTACACTGTGACAGGTGAGGGGGTGTAGTGTATTGTACACTGTGACAGGTGAGGGGGTGTAGTGTATTGTACACTGTGACAAAGACAGGGCTGCCATTGGACATTGAGGCCTCATATAGCCTACCTGACTAGGCCCCTTATAAACTACCCACTGTGAAGATTATCTGTAAACTTAGTGTGCACATAAACAACCCAATAAATCTAAACAGACATTCTTCTCTCTCTAGAGAAAAAACTGGTTATTGCAGTTAAAATATCTATTTGCAAGCATCAACAGTTTTGTTTGGAGAAAAAAAAAAAACTTCATCAGTCACTGTCCACATCCCATAACTACACATTGGCCTGGTAAGGAAGCAGGGGATCCCAGAGCTGTGAAAGAGGGCAGGTAATGGATCAAGGCTAGTCACTCTCAGTGCAATTTCTGATCATCAATGGTTGATGGTTATATGAGGCCTCATAATATCTAATGGCAGCCCTGTCTTTGTCACAGTGTACAATGCACTACACCCCCTACCTGTCACAGTGTACAATGCACTACACCCCCTCACCTGTCACAGTGTCCAATACTCTACACCCCCCCCCCCCCCCCCCCCCCCCACCTTGACCTGTATGAACAAGCTTGGAGCTCTAAGTGCTCAGAAACTGCCCCGGTGATCCACAGCTCTGTCGGGTCGACATCCAGATACACATCCAAGACAACAATTGTATGAAGAAGTCTGAGTACGCTGCACTCCCATCAGTTGGCTGTTCACCAATACCTTACATCTAACTGATTAGAGTTCAGTGTCCTCAGACTTCTTCATATACCCCCTCACCCATCACAGTATACAATAAACTACACCCCCTCACCTGTCACGGTGTACAATAAACTACACCCCCTCACCCATCACAGTATACAATAAACTACACCCCCTCACCTGTCACGGTGTACAATACACTACAACACCTCTCAGTTCGGTAATGTCAACACCCTCCTGCCTGCATGCCTGAGCTAAGGGCAGATGGATTCAGGTAAGTTTCCCTTTGAGGTGCAGAGGCAGTTCATTAACGTGAATGCTCAGCTAGGCCAAATGTCCATGTTATAAGTAATATAGAAGCAAGGAGAGACAAGAAAAGTAGATGGCACTGGCAGGCACTGTTAGCCTATTTTTTGTAGGGCCAACAGCAGCAATGGTAACAATTGTTCACAATGCAGTCAGTCAGAAAGCATGATTGGCAGGAGAACCGCTCCTGCATTTATCTCATCTGTATGCTTCTTTGATAGCTCTGAATGCACCACAAGAGCTCCCTTTCCTGCAGTGTTGGGAACTGGACCTAAACACATCTTTTTCTCAAAAACAGAAAGAAAGAATCTTGCTCTTTGCCCACAAGGCCTCATTGTACCAGGAGAGAGGATACAAACTTCTTACAGGATGGTACAGAAGGCCAGAGATACTACATTGTATGTTCCCCAAAGTCCCATATTCTTGGTTGTAGTGCCTGAATTCAGAGGGGTCCACTCCATATTTTCTGGAAGTGCCCTAAGCTAACGGATTTCTAGACCACGGTGGAGCAGATGATAAAAATGTTAACGGGAGTGTCCCTTGGAGAAAACCCTGCAGCTTTCCTGTTATATGATGCACCACTTTCAAACAAACGATAGAAAGATTAATTATTGAAACATCTCCTCAATGCAGCAAAAGCCTGCATTCCAGCACTATGGAAAAGTACTGTGCCCCCCAATTGAACGCACTGGCTTGCTCGAAATGATGAGATCCAAAAGATGGAAAACCTGACCATGATGCTCAGGGAGCAAGAAGAAAAGTAATTTGGACTCCCTATTTATGGAGATCAGACTATGCTAGCCTTCCAGTGAGATATCGCGACTCCTTTTAATTCCTGGAGATAAAAGGTTCCTCAGGGTGCCAGGCCAGGGGGATGGGTGGGTTTCTTTCTTCCTCTACCCCACCCCTTCCTCTTTCTGCTACACCCCCCCCCCCTTTTTTTTCCTTTCCCTTTCTCTTTATCCCTCTTGTCACCTATTCCCCCTCTTTTTTATCTTTTCCACTGGGGTTTAGTGTCAACTTTCCATCTTATATCGAATGACAAAACTGAAGAAACGGTATATTTCAGGGATGTGTACAAGCAGCTCTGCTGACTGCATATATCAAATATTGTTTACACCAGAGCCCAATGCCTTCAATTTATTTGGATTTGATTTTATGTTTTGGCGTACGAAGTCTGCTGCATTTCATGCTGATGTGTATGTGTTGGAAAGACATGTTATACTGCATCTTCAAAATAAAGAATTAAAAAAAAAGAAAAAGAAACAATGATTGGGATCCACAGACACAAGAACATGACTTGATCCTCCAGACCATACTATTTTCATATCATGTCTATAATTTTCGTTACTTGTCTATGCTCTAGTGAGGACATCTGATTCATGAGCATCTGCAAGGTGAATTTTGAGAACATCCAGCACTTGAGAAACTACATTTCAAGAATGCTTATCCCTCTATAGCAGCTTTTTTCAACCTTTTCACCCCAAAGGAACCATTGAACTAATTTTTAGGTCTTGGGCAACCCATAGATTAGTCCATTGGGAAAATGCCCCCGACATTGGTGGTGGTCTGTGGGAAGAATGCTCCCCTTACAGTGGTGGTAAGAATGCCACTCTTGTGGTCATGTCAATGACTCTGCCAAGTGGAGTTGGAGCTGTAACTATGAAGGCAACATCAAATGAGAAACTGCCACCTGTAAAAGTTATCTGTTACCTTAGTGTACACATTGACAACCCAATGACTCGTAACAGGCATTCTTCCCTGCTCTAGAAAAACCTGATTATTGCAGCTAAAATCTGCTTGCAAATGTTACCAGTTTTCTTTGCGATGGAGAAAAAGTACTGAACCAGGGACTGTCCATATATCAGATCTACACATTGGCCAGATAAAGAAGCCAGGAATCCCAGAGCTCTGAAGGAGGGTAGGTAATGGAGGAAGGCTAGTCACTCTAGGTATGATGTCTAATCATCTTTGGTCCATCTTAGGGCCTCCTTGCACTATTAACCCTGTTGCTAGCAACTAGTCGCCAGTGACATGATCTCTAAAAAAATACTCACTTGCTCCTAAGATGTTCCTCCTCTACTAGTTAAACCAGTCATTGTCATTTCTAAGCTACTCCCTTGCTGGTGTGTAAGATTCTGCAACATTTCAGGGATACCAGAGGACCACGTGAGTGATCATTTTAGCCTCCTGTTGCTAGCACGTTTCCACCAGTGTCAGAATCATTATTGTGAGGTGGCCCTTAGGGTGCAGGCATGATCTGACCATCCTCTGGAGCCAGCAGTTCATTATAAAAGCACTCAGCTGGGCAGAATGTTTAAGTTAAAGTAGAAGACGAATGACAAGGAGAGTACAGTAGCTGTCCCTGGCAGACTGTCAGCTTTATTTTTTAGAGGGCCAACAGCAGCAATAGTGATAATTGCTTGCAGTGCAATCAGTCAACATCCATGAGTGGGATCCACAGACAGAATACTGCTTGATCTGCCAGACCATACAGTTTTCAGTTTATCTCTATGCTGTAATGAGGATATCTGATTCATGAGCATCTGCTAGGTAGTAATGAAAAATTGCTGGCATGTATTCCTTAGCTTGCAATGTATTTGCTCTCCAGCACTTGAGAAACTCTACTTCTAAGTATGTTTTTTCAAGTATAGGCTGCCAGTCTGGAAAATGCCTTCTATGCCATGTGGCCAAGAGTGTGCAGAGCAGTTGATACGACCTCACTTGGGTCATCCAGAAGCCCATCAGGCCTCACTCAACTGTAGTCATGTCACCAACTCTGCCAAGCAGAGTTGGACCAGGAACTATGAAGGCTCCATCAAACGAGAGGTTAGCTAGCCACCTCTGGGGGAACCCTGGTTAAGAATAGCTGATTTATAGGCTGCCAGCCTGCACACTGCCATCGATGCCATCTGGTCAAGAGTGCGTAGATGTGGTCTCACCTGAAGTATGCCAAAGCCCATCAGGCCACACTTAATTACAGGGACATATTTGATGACCCTCTTTTTGGTGGTGGGAGCAGTGCTGCTTGACATTCATTATGCGAGAAGCTTCTGCCTGGTGGAGGCCATGTATGCTTGAAGAGCTAGGGTTGAGGGACACATGAAAAGGGACAGCTAGAGTGCTGAACAAAGTCTGATCCTAGAGTGGGACAACGGACTTAGGAGGTCCTGTTAGATCTCAGTCCCACATGCTGTGAAGTGCCTAATAGGATGCTTTACTGTGTGTACCCCTGTTCCTTTCTGGTGCACTCTGCTGGAATTACTCCACACTGGGGCCACCCAAAGGCAGCGCCTGCTAGCCCCTCTGCTGACCTGATGAGGCCTGAGCCTGGTACTGGAGGTCTGCCTATAGCTATTGGTGGCCCTGGATGAAGAGGTGTACACTGTGGCAGTAGATGGGTTGTATTGTAGAATAACTCTTTTTTTGTTAAGGGGGGATTTTGGGAGGGACACAACAGTTGAGTTTTGCGATGGTACTGCATTATTATAATGACACAGTATAAGTAGGTGAGGGTTGATACAGTATGTACAGTTTAGCTTATATCATGATAGTAATGTTCCTATACAGGTTCCAATTAATCAAAATGCTCCATGTTTGTTCAAAAATCTTTGGTGATTTTGTGAAAATAATAATTTTATTTTTTCTTTCCTGGTCTCTCAATTCGGTTGCAGGACCTCTTTCTCCCATATAGTTTGCTTCTTCTCACATAGTCCTCTCACTTCATGCCTTTATCTTTGTAGGACTGGTGACTACCTGAAAGCATGTGCTCCTGGATCCCCACTTCTATGTTGTGTTTGACCCTCTTTCTTGCCTTCTGCTCATCTGATACGGATCCTGCCCCTGATCTGAGGTCTGTTTTACCATCAGAAGTAAACTCCAAATATAACACCATTTATGGCATCGTTTTTGATGCCGGCAGTACTGGGACTCGTATTCACATCTACACCTTTCACCAGAGGGCTGCAGGTGAGCATATGGAATTGTTAAGGTTCTCTCATTGTCCATATTGGTGGGAGTACAACCCTCAACACTCCATGAGTTTAGAGGAAACTACTCACGCTAAAATGTCGTCTTGCTATTAGGTCTTCAACACACAGATATTTCATGGTGCTGGTAGCAGGTCTTTAACACACAGAATTTTTGTGGTGCTGGCAGTAGGCCTTTAACACACAAATATTTCATTTCGGTGCTGGGTCCAACAACACAAACAATATTTCATGTTGTTATTAGTAGGCCTTAAACACACAGATATTTCATGGCGGTGGGACCATAAAACACAGATATTTCATGATGGTGGGACTATCAACACACAGATATTTCATGACTGCTATTGGTGGGCCCTCAGAATTCCTGTATCCCATGCTAGTTGCATTGTAAATCATATTGTGAATTATCCCAGGATAACTCCTTAGGGCATCAGGCATTTAGTTATGTTAGTAATGATGTGTAGTGGCACATCAACATCAGTAATCCAATAGAGCAGTGGTTCTCAAGCTTCCTAATGCCGTGACCCTTTAATACAGTTCCTCATGTTGTGGTGACCCCCAACCATAACATTATTTACCCAGTAATTATAATTCATGAGTGTCGTTTTACTTCCAATACTGCTGCTTTCAACACAGTAGCTGCTTTTAACAGAGTAGCTGCTTTCAGCACAGTAGCTGCTTTCTACACAGTAGCTGCTCTTTACACATCAGAAATATGTTTTTCTGATGGTCTTAGGCGACCCCTGTGAAAGGGTCGTTCGACCCCCCAGGTTGAGAACCACTGCAATAAAGGCTTAGTTTTTTTAGGTGCTGATATGTGATGGTAAGCGGTGTCAACCATATAAAAAATTTACAGATGTGCCCACACTGGCAGTTTGTTAAAAAAAAATGGGCCTGCATAAGGATTTACCCAAATCTACCCAACCTGCAGCTAATAAACCTATAGGTGTGCAAACTATGACATTTCATATCCCTGTACCATATTTGTTTCATCAGTTACTGAGCTTTCTACTCGCCTTTCCATGATGGTCACATATCTGTGCCTCTCTACTAAAACTTCAGGGCAGTGTTGTATGATTCCATTTTTATTGCTGCTCAGAAGTCAATTTGCATTAGATTTGCCTTTCATCATAACTGTGATCTGCTGATCTCCTTTCTTTGCATTATTCAGGTTCTCCTCTGGAGCTGGATGGAGAAATCTTTGAGTCAGTAAAGCCAGGTCTCTCGGCTTATGCCAATCAGCCAGAAAAGGTGAGCTGAGTTATTTTAAATGTTTCAGTTCAGCCATGATAAAATAACTCATAATTCACTAGTAACATTTGTCAAATACATTTTTATACATTACCATTGATTAGATTGGACGTATCCTTAGAATGACCTCTTCAAGAAAAACAATAACCTGTTAAATAAGTGGGGGAGCAAACTTATTTTGCGGGCTGTCAGTGTTTCTGCAGAGTCCAGCACTTGGATTTATTAGACTATATAGACTAAATTCTAAAGATGTTATGTACAGTATTTTCTGGCGTATAAGACTACTTTTTATACTCAAAAATATACCCCAAAAATTGGGGGTCGTCTTATACGCGGGGTATAAAATGTGAACCCTGAGTTTGTTTGGGTCAAGCTGGCTGGATGTGTGGTAATACTGTAAATACAGTATGCCGCGTTGAGCCAAGCTGGCTCAAAACAAATGTTCCTATGACAGATTAATCTGTCAGCCCACTGGATGTGCGGTATATACAGTATACTGAGTATATACCACTGTGGTATATACAGTATACTGAGCCAAGCTGTTTCAAAACATACCGGTACGTCCCTACTGTAATCAGCACGCTGGATGCGTGTATGTACGGTAGCTTCGGCTACATACAGTATACGCTGGGCCAATCACGGCGAGTGTATTCTAATGAATACAAAGCCTGCTCGGATTGGCTGAGTCAGAGAGGTGGGCTGATGATGTCATAACCTCAGCCAATCTGAGCAGGCTTTGTATTCATTAGCAGAATACATCATTCGCCGTGATTGGCCCAGTGTATACTGTATGTAGCCGCAGCTACCGTACATACACGCATCCAGCGGGCTGATTACAGTAGGGACGTACCGGTATGTTTTGAAACCGCTTGGCTCAGTATACTGTATATACCGCACATCCAGCGGGCTGACAGATTAATCTGCCATAGGGACATTTGTTTTGAGCCAGCTTGGCTCAGCGCGGTATACTGTATGTACATTACTGCACATCCAGTGGGCTGTATATACAGTGGGGATCGAAAGTTTGGGCACCCCAGCTAAAAAATTGTATTAATGTGCATAAAGAAACCAAGGAAAGATGGAAAAATCTCCAAAAGGCATCAAATTACAGATTAGACATTCTTATAATATGTCAACAAAAGATAGATTTTATTTCCATCATTTACACTTTCAAAATAACAGAAAACAAAAAAAATTTGGGCACCCTGCAGAATTTATAGCATGCACTGCCCCCTTTGCCAAGCTGAGACCTGCCAGTGTCATGGATTGTTCTCAATCATCATCTGGGAAGACCAGGTGATGTCAATCTCAAAGGTTTTAAATGCCCAGACTCATCTGACCTTGCCCCAACAATCAGCACCATGGGTTCTTCTAAGCAGTTGTCTAGAAAACCAAAACTGAAAATATTTGACGCTCACAAAGCTGGAGAAGGCTATAAGAAGATAGCAAAGCGTTTTCAGATGTCAATATCCTCTGTTCGGAATGTAATTAAGAAATGGCAGTCATCAGGAACAGTGGAAGTTAAAGCAAGATCTGGAAGACCAAGAAAAATATCAGACAGAACAGCTCGCAGGATTGTGAGAAAAACAATTCAAAACCCACGTTTGACTGCACGATCCCTCCAGAAAGATCTGGCAGACACTGGAGTTGTGGTACACTATTCCACTATAAAGAGATACTTGTACAAATATGGTCTTCATGGAAGAGTCATCAGAAGAAAACCTCTTCTACGTCCTCACCACAAAAATCATCGTTTGAACTTTGCAAATGAACATATAGACAAGCCTGATGCATTTTGGAAACAAGTTCTGTGGACCGATGAGGTTAAAATGGAACTTTTTGGCCGGAATGAGCAAAGGTACGTTTGGAGAAGAAGGGGCACATAATTTAATGAAAAGAACCTCTGTCCAACTGTTAAGAGCATGGGGGTGGATCAATCATGCTTTGGGGTTGTGTTGCAGCCAGTGGCACAGGGAACATCTCACGAGTAGAAGGAAAAATGGATTCAATAAAATTTCAGCAAATTTTGGATGGTAACTTGATGCCATCTGTGAAAAAGCTGAAGTTAAAGAGAGGATGGCTTCTACAAATGGATAATGATCCTAAACACACCTCAAAATCCACAGGGGATTACATCAAGAGGCGTAAACTGAAGGTTTTGCCATGGCCTTCACAATCTCCTGACCTCAACATAATTGAAAATCTATGGATAGACCTTAAAAGAGCAGTGCGTGACAGACAGCCCCAAAATCTCAAAGAACTGGAAGACTTTTGTAAGGAAGAATGGGCAAAGATACCTCAAACAAGAATTGAAAGACTCTTGGTTGGCTACAAAAAGCGTTTACAAGCTGTGATACTTGCCAAAGGGGGCAGTACAAGATATTAACTCTGCAGGGTGCCCAAACTTTTGCAGACGCCATTTTTTTGTTTTCTGTTATTTTGAAAGTGTAAATGATGGAAATAAAATCTAACTTTTGTTGACATATTATAAGAATGTCTAATCTGTAATTTGATGCCTTTTGGAGATTTTTCCATCTTTCCTTGGCTTCTTTATGCACATTAATACAAATATTTAGCTGGGGTGCCCAAACTTTCGATCCCCACTGTATACTGTATAATGTATGTAGCCGAAGCTACCGTATTACCGCACATCCAGCGGTAACCATCTGATTTGGAATTTGATCCATATGATGACTGTCTTACAAATATATCACAAGATGTCATTCATGAACTTATGATGTCAGAGGATGAACATGAGGATTTTGAAGGATTTTAAGTACCGGTAAGTCATAACCATTTCATTTAAAAAAAATCGAATGTTTTTAAATGGTGTTGCCTCGGAAGGGAAGTAGTCTTATACGGCGAGTATAGCCCAAAACCTATGTTTTAACTGGAAAATTAGGGGGTCGTCTTATACACCGTCGCCTTATACGCCGGAAAATACGGTATTTATTTATTTTTATTAATCAATTTAAATTAATTTGTTTATTTTAATACATTATAACAGATAGGTTAAATCAGTGAATAAAAGTATTTTTTGCTTTTTAGCCAACTACTTATTTTTACATGTTTATATGGTTCTGTGTGGGCATGGCTGTAAGGAATTCTTCAGTTACAAAATAATTATTGGAAAATGTGATGAAAAGTGTTTCTCTGATATAACAAATATCAATTTACAGATTTTATACAAAAAGGTAGCACTATACTCCAAATTAATGAATGACAATGTGAAAAAAAATACAAAAAACTAAATTAGTACGATAATAGTTACAATAATAATTGTAGTACAAATATAACATATCAAAAACACCCAAAACAATACATAAGGTAAATTATAATGTACGGTAAAATATAAAAATATCAATTTACAGCCTGTGAGGTTTATTTTCCAGGTTTAGGCAATTCAGAACTTTACTCTGCAGCTTTGCTTTTTTCTTTCACACACATTCCAACAAATCTGCAGCTCATTCCTCTGGTACATGATTTGCACTTGCACTTTAGCCACCTCCTTACCAGCATTGTAGTAAAATGGCCACTAGGGGAGTGAATAATCCAAGTGGACATTTATAAATCTCCTTTCGTTACTGTTGGTGTTATTAGACAGTCATTAAACAGTGGAAATCACAAGATAAAGGCACAGGGCCAAAGCATACTGGTTCTGTGCCTTGTGATTGCTGTGACGGACAATCACAGTGATCAACAATGTAAACAGTAGTACTGTTTAAGGGATTTAAAGTGGCAGTGACCACTGGGGGGGGGGGGGGTTTACTGTAGTTTACTTATAGTGCCACTGACCACTAATGACTGTAGGGTTTTGAGTTTATAGCATCCATTGCACATGTTGCCCTTTTAGTGCAATTACTTTTTATCCTCTGGGAAACTTTCTTCCCCTAACAGAATATTCACATTTGGCTTACCAATAATGGAAGACTTGCACTTGGCTTCAGTGGGTGACTGTTAAAGGTCAAGCTCACCATTACCACCTCAATACCATCGTGTTTCTTGATTTCCAAAACCAAAAAGCAAGGGAAACACATTTTATTTATGTTGTGTTTAGTCCAGGGCTTAAAATTTAGAGTCGAGACCTACTAGCCAGGCACAAACCTTACTCTCCACCAGTTGCCCCACCCAACCTTGCCCAGATCCGCCTCCAACCCCACCCCTGGCCCATCACCAACCCCTCCCCCAGGCCTGCCCCCAACCACACTCCCTTAAAGCTTAAAAGTAGAAAACATACACGGTGTGCATATCCGGAGAGTTTGTAATAATTACAGACTGTCAGGATATGCACACCTTGTATGTTTTCATTGTACTGCAGCTCAACCTCACTGAGTCTTTTGATTCTTTTTATCAAAAAATAATTTGTTGCAATAAAAATGTATTGTTTTATACCTGTGTACACACTTTTTTTGCCTGTCAGAGTCCCAGGGGGATATTTCCATAGTTGTTGTCTGTTTCAATATTTGGGATGTTGGCAAAAACAGTGTAAATGGTGGGGCATTGTACCCAATTTCGTAGTCTTTGTAATCTCACCATGCTAGACACAGACAACAGTAAAATACATAGGTTCTCGCCCTTTTTCTCTCTATACAATACTTCAAACAATTGAGTGGTGCGCCATTCTAACTGTGACAATGAGTAACGACCTGTAGTGTGCATGCAAGCAGCTCACCTTAAGCTGGCCATACACCAGTCATGTTCCCCCGAAGCGGTGGAGAGCGGGCCTCGTGTCCCCCGCGGTGGCAAAGAGGAAACCGGAAGTCGGAAACCGGCAGTCGGCTTCCCAACGAGGCTTGGAGCGCAAGTGGAAAGCAAATCGATCCCCGGGTCCTGGGGATCACATTGCAAGCCACCCGCTCCATCTGTGCTCGCCACGAAGAGATTTTCCCTCGCATTTGGCGATCTTTCAGATTTCCTCATCTGCCATACCTATTCGCTTTCCTTTTAGGCCTGGTTCACACCTAGGCATTTTTTTTTAGTGCTTTTTGTATTTTGCAGAA